TTTTTTTTTTTTTTGCAAAAAGATGGTTGGCCAAAAATCCTATGTTAGGAGAGTCAGTCAAGTAAGCTAAGCATCCTAAGTTTAGAGAATCGATCAAGAGTAGTCAACCCTATGAATTGCCACAGAGACATCTCAATTTTCCTTTATATATCCACCATTCTTTGTCAATCTTTTATTTACCTATCAATGTGGGATAGACAAAAGTCAATCACAATTCAAGATTAAAAAATACTCAATCTTAATGTGTCACATTGATGGTTGTGGTTTTTACTTTTAAATATGGAAAGAATAAAGATTATATATATAATTAATTTTTAATATCAATTAACCCTTCTTGCGAAAACAGAGTTGACCAAAATGAACCAACCCCATATGTTCGAAGGGTCGGCCAAAATAATCTAACCACAGGTGTTTAGAGAATCAACCAAGAGGAACCAACCTCATGAGTTGTCACAAAGGCATCTCGACCTCATTTTACATATCAACCATTTTTATCAATCTTTCAACTCTCATTCAATATAGGATACACAAAACTCAATCACAATTCAAGATTGAAGAATTTTCAACTCTTAGGGTGCCGCATCAATGGTTGTGCTTCGTACTTTAAAAAACATATAAAAATTATCTCTTCAATTAATTTTTAGTATAGATTAATTTTTCGCAAAAAGAAGGTTGGCCAAAATGAGCCAACCGCATATGTTTGGAAGCTCAATCAAAATGATCCAACCATGTGAGTTTAGACAATCGGTCAAGAGAAGCCAGTCTCATGACTTGCCACAAAGGCATCTCAACATCTTGTTATATGTACGCCATTCATTGTCAATATTTCATCTATCTATCAATGTGGGTTAGACAAAATTCAATCACAATTCCCGAGTGAAGAATAATCAATTCTTAGGGCGCCACATCAATACTTATATATATATATATATATATATATATAAGATTATTATGATGGATATTGATACTATTGATTGGGTTTTTTAAAAAAAATCACCATTACTCCAAAAATTGAAAGATAAACATGGCACATCTCGACATCTTGTTATATGTACGCCATTCATTGTCAATATTTCAACTATCTATTAATGTGGGTTTGACATAATCCAATCGCAATTCAAGAATGAAGAATAATCAATACTAGGGCGCCACATCAATACTTATATATATATATATATATATATATATATATATATATATGAGATTATTATGATGAATATTGATACTATTGATTGAGTTTTATAAAAAATAACCATTACTCCAAAAATTAAAAGATAAACATGGTTTATATAGCAGAATGGACCTTTTAATTTTCAAAGGGATCTCATCCTTCTCTTATATACTAATCTTCCTCTACCAACGTATCAATTTCTAATCAATGTGGATACCCAAAATCTAACCTGGATTTTAAAATATCTAGTTTCAATGATGCTCCCTCATTATTTTCTAGCTTTCTTTTGTATTGATGTATTGATTTTTTATATAAGGAACTTTTTCCAAATAGAGGGTTCGCCAAAATGATCCAACCCATGAGTTTAGAGGGTTAGCCAACACGAGCCAATGATATGAGTTTATAGGATTAGCCAAGAGAATCCAACCGCATGAGTTGAAAAAAAGACATCTCAACCCCCTCTCATATACTTGTCATCACTTGTCAACCTTTCATCTCTCCATCAATGTGGGATACACAAACTCAACCTCAATGCAAGAAATAGATAATACTCAATTCTTAGGGCCTCACCTCATTTCTTGTCAATATTACTTTTATATGTAAAGATTTTTTATAAAGATAACTTCTTGCAAATAAAGGGTTGGCCAAAAGAAACCAACCCCATGAGTTTGGAGGGTTAGCCAACATGAGCTAACAATATGAGTTTATAGGATTAGCCAAGAGAATCCAACCGCATGAGCTAAAAGAAAGACACCCCAACCTCATCGCATATACCTACCATCAATTGTCAATCTTTTATCTATCTATCAATATGTGATATACAAAACTCAACCTCAATGCAAGAAATATATAATACTCAATTCTTAGGGTGCCACATCATTTCTTTTGGATCTCATTTTATATAAAAAGATATATTGATTTTTTCTATAGATAATGTTTTTGCAAATAGAGGGTTGGCCAAAATGAACCAACCCTATAAATTTGGAGGGTTAGCCAACATGAGACAACAATGAGTTTATAGGATTAGCCAAGAGAAGCCAACTCCATGAGTTAAAACAAAGACACTTCAACCTCCTCTCATATACCTACCATCAATTGTCAATATTTCATTTCACCATCAATGTGGGATACACAAAACTCAACCTCAATGCAAGAAATATAGAATACTCAATTCTTAGTGTGCCACATCATTTCTTGTCAATCTTACTTTTATATATATAAAGATTACCAAAACCACTCTTCACTTGATATTAGCTTTATGTTATAGTAATTCTATATTCTAAAGGTGTTAATTGACATTTGATTTTTTAGAAATGTTATGAGTGTCATCTTTTTTATTTCTCATATTATCTTTCCAGTCTACTACATCTTCTCATCCTGTCTGCTTCAGCCCCCATCTCAAGCCTTCAATTGGTGTCATTTCTACCTTTAAGTGTTATCCAAGACAATAAAAGATTTTATTCGACAATGAACAACCACCCACCTGGTGAAAATAGCATGATCTACAATTACTTGAAGCTATATATGTACTTATTGAGCCTGCATGCAGCTGGGTGCCTGTGCTACTTCTTAGAGACAAGTTTGATTGTTAAATTTGAAAGAGATAAGTAGCAGGGAAAATCATAGATCACTAATCAGTTGGATCTTTTTCTAGGATGAACATGGGTGTTGGGACTAAATAGCAACGATTTGGAATTGACGACTCTAGCAAATAGGTAGCAAAAACCCTTGGTGGTAACTCAACAGGTCAGACCTTGGGTTTGCTCCCAGTGGTCCCTAGTTCAAGCCCCCTCAAGGCCACCAGAGATCTCTCAGCTCTCAACTTCAGGGTCCCATGGAATAGTCGAGATGTACGCAAGCTGGCCCGGATACCCGCAGTTATAAAAAGGAATGAAGTAAACAAGTGATTAAAAATAAATAAAATTCCAAAGATTAACACAAAGCATCACTTCTCTATCATATTGTGTTTATCATTAAAAGAATATATAGATGATAGATCATCAACATTAGAGAAAGAAGCAAAGTATATCATCAGTCACACAGGAAGCAATAATTAGTTACGCTCGCAGAGAGGAAATAACAAAAAGATGCATAGAGAAGGAATTACTATTTATGCAATGGAAATAACTTGAATGGTAACCATCTTGCTACTACTAGAGTCATGCAATTACTTGGATACGGTTGTATAACACTAAAAGCCCATGTACCCTATGAAGATGATTCAACCTCTTCATTTCTTGTTGGAAGCAGATAGCTCTCTTCTTGATAGAGTAAAAGAGGAAACTAATTTCAATATGAGCTTGTAAACACCATGTCTCTAGAATCTTCTACCTCAAACTATCCAACAGTTATAAAGTAGCTTCATTTAAATTTTAGTCAATCAAGAAAACGACCATTCATCATCCCCCTCTGAAAAGAAAAAAGCACCAACTTAGAAATTAAATGGTTTTTGATCTCTGTGTACCTTTCTGCAACTTGACAAAGTATATTGTTTCTTATCTTATGTGTTTCTAATTTATCAGGAGGCAGATGATTTGACTAGCCCATTCAAATGTTTCAACTTTGTAAGAGAGAAAATTCAGATATCATGTAATAAATATATTTTCTCTCTTGTAGAAAGAGGGATAGCAATAGAGAGGATCATACCTCACAGTTTGATCTGTGTGAATCCCAACAAGTAAAAAATCTCCAAGCCCTCGAGCTAGTCTTAAAATCTGCAAATTTGTAAGTTTTGTGGTTTCAATACTAGAAACACCATAGATGGCTACACCATCTCAAACACGACTTTTTAAAATGACTGATACATCTTTGCCAAAATTTAACTACTCCCTCCGTCCCAAATAAATGCCCACAAATAAAAATCCACACGTTTTTGTATGTGTAACCATTATACTTTTTAATTAACTAAACGACAATTTCACCCTTACACTATGTTCTAGAAACCCTTTTTATGAAGGAACGGAAAGGAAGGGAAAGGGGAGGAAAAGAACTCGTGTTCAAAAAAAAATTTAAGGACAGAAAGGAAACAGAAGGAAAATAAATGACAAGTTTCCTCTTAAAACTTTAAATGTGGGAGGAAAGAGATAAGAACCCTTAAAAAGATTGTTACAAAACTACCCAACCTTTCATTTTAAGGGGTATATTTTCAAAAAAGGCACATTTCTTTCCGTTCTCTCTTGTTCAAGAACACTAAAAATCATTTTATATCCTTCCTTTAACTTCCCTTTTAAGAACACAAATAGAAAAGTTCTTTTCCTTTTCGTTCTTATCTTCCATTTCCTATATTTTATTTTCTTCCCAAAATCCAGAATACAGCGTTAATGACAAGGGAGTAAATAATTTCTCACCTCGTAAGGATAGAATTCAAAAGTAAACACTTATTTTGGGACAACTAAAATAGAAATGTGGACACTTATGTTGGGACAGAGGGAATAATAGTTATCTTGATTAGTCAAGTTAAAAAATAAAAAAAATTCAAGTTGTGGTAGTAAGACTTTATGTACAAAAAAGGGCAAACAAAAAGAACTTTCATAACAGTAAATAAGAAGTTATGTAGTACTGAAAATAGTTGCGAGCATTTGGAATGTGTGTAGAGTAGATCTAAGAGTTTAGCAATTTTGAAGATCAATAGATCATATCTGCTTAACATAGTATAGCAACTTAAAGAAGGAAATAAGGGACTGAGGCATGTAAATGTGCAAAATCATTCATTAATAGCAGTTGGTATGAACTGAACTTATCAGCCTACCTCCACATGTCCAGCATGGAACAGATCAAATGCACCATCTATGTAAACTATGCGTGCATCCGGTCCAGCTGCCTGCAAAAATAGCAGTATGAGCAAGAATCCTGAGTTACTTGAGGTGTCGATGAGTTTCCACATGGCACTAATGGTGACGATAAAGTCTAGGTTTGTACAATGTTCGCTTAATTATCAAGTTACCTATCCTGCTCCTACGTCCTAGTCAAATGTCACCGTAATTATTGCATAAATGATGAATGTGTTAAAAAGGTCATCAAAACAGAAACCAATTAAATAAAAAAGATTAAGCCGAGGCTCGTGTTGAACGCCTCTTTAAAGCAGATTCGTCCCCAACAGGCGGCGTCTGCTTCCCAGGATACGAGTCGAACGTTTCACCGATGAACCTCTGAACCCAACCATGCCTGAGTTGTACAGTGTACCTTGGTATGTGTTTCTTCTATATCAATTCGTCCATAAGTATACGTTGCAATTATTTGTTTTCGAAACATATATTGTAAAATGTAACCGATTGTGAACTGACGGCCCGTCAGCTGGGCAGTCAATCCCGGTGCTATAGCGGTAGTCGAGGAAATAGAGGTGGTCCACTAGCGGTCCTGCGGTTAGTGGCCCGCTATTTGCTGCTACTTACCGCTTGTGCAATTAGCTCATTCATAACCTTCACAAATTTTATTACTATGTCGCTTGTGTGGGACCTGATTTGTATCTTAAGTTATTTACTTCTTTATATATATAAATATGTGTATTTATTATATGACCGTAATTCTTTTACCGCTATAAAGCCGCTTTACCAATGCGACAACTGAAATATCAAATCACGTTACTGATTGTGATTTCGTAATTCACAAATACTAGGGAGTTACAAAATCAATCTCATGAATATTAGGGAGTTAATTGACTGTAATTTATCTTAGAAAATAAAAATATTTTTTTTTGAAAATAGCGAAACTTATCCTGAACTATTCTGGTCGACCATGGTGCAGGACGTGTGCCTGCAATAAGTTCAGTGGGCCGAAGCCATTTTGGTCCAAGTTTTGCACCCTCTTGCAGAGAGCCTTTTAGTCATAGTGATCGATCTACTTCTTCCAACTAGGAAATCATATATAAACTCACTAATTGTCTCATTTCCCACCTATGTGGCACGATTGTCTTCACACCCAACATTCATTTCAAATGCATCACTTTGACAACCAATTTCTCATTCACCCGAACTTTGTTTTAGACACGTTATATATCAAAACAATGCAGATATGGATCTGATGTTACCCAGTAATTATTAATTTCATAGATCCATACAACTTTACTGTCCTTTACTTTTCTTGAACATGGATCTGATATTACCCAATAATTTCATCGATCCATACAACTTTGTGAATCACTATTGACCTAGAAATGTAAGATATTCAAGGCACATCTAAAATCATTTCATCACTAATGCATAACACCATTCCTCCCTCTCCAAAGAAACAAAAGAGAAAATCTTTCTCTACTTCCAACAGATAACAACACAAGGAAATTGTAATATTCAGGTTTTAATCGTTTTGATTTAAATAAATAAATAAATATATATATATATATATATATGTGTGTGTGTGTGTGTAGTATTTTGGAGGAGGGGAAAGGCGGCTAGAGGCACCGCCTACATATTCCTTTACTGCTATAAATAGGAATTTTGATTTTATGAAGGGGATTACTGTTACACCATATTTAGAAAGCTCTCTTTTGCATTTCATACGGATACAAGAGAAGAATTCAAAAGCCTGGAAATTCAAGTTATAAGGTGAGTGTATTAAGAGCTTTGGATATAAATTGTTTACATACAATTTAATAGCATTTGGAACTGGTTATTATGAATTCTGTTGCATTTTTATGTGGTTCTTGTTTAAACCGTTCAAGTGGTGTCCGGATTGATATATGGATAATAAACCGCTCATGTATTGTCCGGAGTCTTTCCTAAACCGGTCAAGAGGTGACCGGATATCATTTAACCCGGTCAAGAGGTGACCGGATATCATTTAAACCGATCAAAAGATTGAGTGGAGTATTGACCGGATTGTTTAAACCGGTCAAAGGTTGGTGTAACCGCGAGAGGGATGAAATGGCGGTGTATCCGCGAGAGGGATGAAATGGCGGTGTAACCACGAGCGAGAAACATAAATATGCTTATATTTCATAACAGGTTTGATTCTGAACTGATTGTTTGGAATGTAAGTTGTTTGTTTTGAGATTTATACACTCACTAGACCTTTTGGTCTAACGCTCAGTTGTTGGACTAACCTGTTTTGCAGGACAGCGTACTTTGCAAGATAAGGGCAAAGGAAAAGTTTAAACGATGATAATAGTTTGTTCATATATGTATTAAAGATACATTTTGTTAGTCCATGTTTTGTAATAATACTGTTTTTAGTATTATGAGTATGATGATGTGAATTATATGTATATGGGATTATGAGGGTTGTTACAGAAATCAAGAGCGCGAATATTGTAGTTATCAGCATATAGTTTAAACAGTTCGAATTAGAACAAAAAACAAAGAAATATGCATTAGCACCTTTTCATTAGAAAACTGAACAATTCTGCGAGATGTAGGAAGAAAATGAGAAACACGAGTTCGGCTGCCAGAGCCACCATCGTCATATTTCTGGTTGTGACCATGACTAAATTGTCTTTGCAAGGAAGCATGACTAGGGCTGTCACCACTTGTCCTCTCCCTTACACAAAGAAGCATCCGCCCTGTATTCGTGACATTCCAAAACAATTAAATATTACAAATAGTAAGATATGACTAGTTTAATTCCAATTTTGAACTCGGATCCAATAAGCCTTAACACCAAACTAGGTCAGTAGGCTTGCACAAGTCCATTTGCAGTCTTCATTTAAAATTATTCACCAGCAAGAAAACTTTGATTCCTAGCAGTACACAAATAGAAAGGCCTTTTCCAGTATCAATGTTGGTACCTGACTTAATTTCAGAAACTTAATCAAACTTGAAGGAAAAGAAAAACAAATATAAAAAAAGGAAAACCTTAGAATACATGACCTTTAAAAATTCATGCACCTAAGATTGGCAAGAAAACAATCCTCTGCACAGAGATGAAACTGAAGCCACATGGATCCAGCACATAAATAGAGAAATTGGGTCCATCAGTTTAGTCTATTTCATTTCGTTTCATTTCTCAATTATTGGGACCCATTTCCATGACGCGAGAAAAAACGGGAGGGGACCCAAAAAATGGAGATGAGATATGGAGAAAAATTTTGCTAAACAACTAAAACTCATTTCCATTTCATAGGTCCCATTTCCTCCCACCTTGCATGATTTTTCGCCCACTACTATATTCTTTCTTAATTTCATAACTTAACTCAGAGTCTAGACCTAGGCTTAAAACAAAGCAGAATGCATACCAACAATGTCTGTGCTTGACACTCCTTCTGTTCGCTTTATCTGTTTATAGCGGCCAGCTTTCTTTGCAAGGGCATATGCATCAGTTCCATCGGGCAGAATGCATGGATCATCTCCATGAATGATATAATCTATATTGTACTCATCAAACAGCTTCCTCATGAATTCTTCAGTTATGGCATAAGGTGCATCAGGAATAACTTCATCAACCCACTTCACAGCACTGACCATAAGCATCCTGAGGTAAGAAAACCAAAGTGAAAACCATATTCGCAATGTACTTGATGCTCTAATTAATATAACCATTTGTATTTATAAAATGGATAAAAGATGCCTGCCTTTTATTTATTGAAGTGCATACTATTCAATTTTATCATTCATTCTACTTGTTCCGTTTGGGGAATTAATGGGTACAATAGTACTCAAATAGAAGAATAATTGAAGAAGAACAAGAAATTAACCAGTACCTCAATAGAAAAACACAATAGATAGCACTTAAAGCAAATAACTTGGAGGAAATGTATACAGCCATGAAACTTGTGCATCATCACGGAAATTTCTCACATAGGCTTCAAAGGCAAGGCTTGGCAAGAACAGAAAGAAACAATTCCGTACACCACTTCCCCTTCCCACTTCCAACACACAAAAATATATCGATTACAAGTCAAAGATCTTTGATGCAAGCTACAAACATGCAGATTGTATACAAGTGGGCACTATAAAAACAGAAGGGAAAAAACCAAAATATACAACTGATGACTTCATGCAAGTTGGTTCCTTAATTCCTTCCTAATGTACTAATATGCTAGCTGACATTTAGTCCCTCTGTTATGGTTCTTAATATTAGGCCTTCTATCATTTACACTGATTTTGGTGTGAACAGCTCCATAGTATTTGTCTACATACTTTGTTCTTCAATAGTAAGATTAATCTTTATAAACTATCATGTTTTATCAAGTAATCCTAGCCTCACTAAATAAGGCCATATTGCCGCAACCGCAACAGCAGCTTTAGCCCCACGCGTCAGCAGTTTTGAGACTTGATTGCTAATCTAGAACTTTTCATGCTTTACTCTTGGCCTGTTTGTTCGATTGATCTTGTTGGTAATTTTATTTATTTTTTTAAATTCCTGCTGGTATTTTCTTGTTTTGGGTCATAGGTTCATATAGGAAGGTAATACAAAGGAACTTACTAGTGCATTGTTTGTCTGACCTTGGTTCCTTATAATATTCCTACTAAGTTAAACCAAAATTTGATTTCATGTTCACATTTTGTGAAAAAAAGGGACCCCATCAGTAAGGATCAATATGATTATTAGACTATGATCCTATGTTTACACCTATAAAGAAATAGAGATTGATTTGTAGGACTTAATTTACTCTCTAAGAGGCTATGGATCCTAAGACTTCTGCCATGTCTGACAGTCTGAGTGCAAAGAGTTTATGGGAGATTCAACTTCTGCATATCCTGTGCAGCTAGTTTTCAATGCTTACTTTGTGGCTCAGTCTTTCTTCCACATTGAATACTTGATCCACTTCCGATGGATACCTATGAACTTCACTACTCACCTAAAACTACATGGAGAGCATCATGAAAACCTCATCACATAAAGAATTTATGTGGGGCTGTCTATTTCACACAATTTTTATGTTGTCGGGTCACGTTGATGCCACTTCAATGTTAGTGCCATCTATCCTTGTCGTCTGGTCCTAGTTCTAAATCCCCAATTGGCACAAAAAGGAGTCTTCTGCAGCTGAAAACCTATGGTATAAGTTTTGTTAAAGGTTCTCAGAGAGGAAGCTCAAGTAATAGCTCTGGTTTTGGTAGGGCGTCTCAGGACCACACCGCAGAGGACATAGGAAAGAAATAAAACCTAATTTGAAACCTGTTAGATGCCACTTTTCTATCATGTACAAGCTTCAAGGAACAGCAGTAGTTTAAGGAAAGTTTAGTCAGAAACCCTAGAAGGTCCTTGATTTAGGGAGTTACTTGGATAGGAGGAGCTCCTTATAAAAGGGAAGACCTCATTTTTAATCTTCAAGCTTGGAAATGAGACAATAAACCAACAAGCTAGAAAATGTTATTCCCTTTTAGCATTACTTGGCTCAAGATGGCATAATCATTGTCCTTCATAGGACAAGAACGAACTAGATACAGGCTTCAAACATGGAATATGACCTAATTTAGAAAGAATCAACAATTGCATCAAATTAAACATAAAAGAAACAGCATTGCGAATCTCTCATAAGGGACAAGGTTAACATAAAAAGAAAGGCATTGGAATTGTAATTGTAATTACAAATGTAAAGAACCTTTCATGAAGAGGGGTAACCGGAGGGCCTTTATTAGTAGTGATTTCATCATCGCTGACAACGCCAACAATCAATTGATCACCGAGAGCACGTGCTTGACGGAGTGCGTTGCAGTGGCCGTAATGCATCATATCAAAGCAACCATCCATGTAGACACGTATGGGCCTCTTCTTCTTCTTCCCAACAATAGCTAGAGGAGAGAGCTGCGGCCAAGCGGCGCATAACCCCAAAACCGACAACCCTGCAACCACACCTCCAATCAACCATGTCGCTAGAAACCGCTTCGAGCTCTCAAGACCTCCATCTGAACCCATCTCTCCAACGATTCTTATTCTGAGAATCTCTCTCTCTCTCTCTTTATGTATTCGTTTTTCTCCCTGTATTCTCTAAATTGCTTTTATCATTTGTGGTTTGGCACATTTCTTCAATTCTTTTTCCACTTGTGTTCTCTCCCCTTTGGAATTCGGATACGCCCAAAAATGGTTTTGATCCAATTGTTTATTTTCACTTTTTACCCCCACTATCTTTCAAGATTGAGTAAATTACACTCTTGTCGCTAAGAATCTAGATATATAGCAGTTATTTAATGGTGTGGTATATATAATGATTAAGTAGGAGTTGTTTGTTTATATTTTAATAGCTTCATTAATAGGTAATTTCTGAATCGTTTTTAGGTGAATCTTGTTTGGTAAGAAAAAAATCTGTCTCTTAATGGTTTCAAAACTCTCTGAATGATTTTGTATCATGGATCTCTTTTAACCATTAAGAGCCCTAATTTCATTGTATACAATTATCAAACAATTATATTTCATTTTGCACTATATCATAAGAGTCTCTTAATCATTCTGACCACTTAATCATTCTGCACCAAATCATTCAGCAATTGCCAAACAGCCCTATAGTCAAAATGATTAAGAGGCTTTTATGGTATAATGTAAAATAAAATATAATTGTTTGGTAATTATTAAGAGTAAAATTAGCATGTTGAATAGGTAAGGGAGGTCCAAGATACAAAATCGTTAAGAGGGTTTTAGAACCATTAAGAAACATATTTTTTTTTTTTGCCAAACAAAATTCACTTCTTAGCGGTTCAAAGATTGCCTCTTAATAAAACTATTAAAAGGTAAACAAACAATCTTATAGTTTTTGTTTTAAAAAAGTGTAACATAATTGCATTCCATATTTTTCTATTAAAGTTGTATGTTGTAGTAAAATTATCCTCCTAACTAACACATAAATAATCTACTTTCACTTTAAATGGTTTTATAAGAAGAAAATTGAGAGGTAATAACTTCAGGAGAAAACAAGTTTTAAATGCTAGTAATCAACTTTAAAGTAAAATGAAAGAATTGTGTTATTTTTTTAATTAACCTGTATATCCAACCCGCTATGTGAGCCGACAATTCCATGACGACTACCTATTTTGTGGGTAGCTCGAAGTCACCGCATTTAAACCTCCGTGGCCATAAAGGGGGTTTTATTCCTCCTTGTATTTGAACATGAGACCTCCAGGCACTTTGACATTTGGATCCCAAGCCTAAACCAATCAGACACCACCCTTGTAGTTAAAATTGTGTTTATTGCTACTCTTAAATGGTTTTTATGGGAATGTGAAAAAGGACATTGAGGCGATCAGCACAAAATCAACCGATACTTATAATAGAATTTATTCAGCTTAACTATTAAAAAAATTAAAAACTACTGATCCCTTCTCATACTACTTTCGACCTTCTATATATGCAAAGGGTGGGTACAAAAGGATTAACCAACAAATAGGAGGTTATACATGTTAAAGTACAAAAGTGTTTCTCCTGATTATGACTTTGTATTTGCCGAAAAAGAAATCTTTATATCTGTCAACATCCAATCTTCCTTATCTTTCAAAAAATCCTCTAAGAATCAATATTTTTTTTCAAGCAATACAGTTAGGGGAAAACATGGGCTATTTAATGCTGCAATAGTCATTTGTTTTATTATTTGGTATCATTTCAGTAGTAATATCATTATAACAATTTCAATTCTAATTCATTTGTCAAGAAACAAGAAAGATGCAAATGAAAGAATACGATGACTCAAAAGGAATGGTAAATGTAAGAAAAACATATGCATATGATGTTGTAGCACGGATCAAATTCAAAGTTATCATTACTGCGATTTTTGTCATCATTCCGACAATTAATGGTATCCGCAAAATCTTCCATTTCATACTTCTCTGAGAGTAGGTTTTTGGTTTCCTATATCATTAGAAGCGACCAAAATGTGATTGATGGTCATGAACTATATTCACGTCATGCAACATTTTTATGCGTAAATTACTGTTTATTAATGCATATTACTTAAAACTCAAGATTGCAAGTAGATTGTGCGTAAATACAACTTATTAAAACTTCATATCTGAATTCGTGTAACTAACTGCAGATAAACATAATCAAATACAGGATAAACATCTCATTTTAAATATAAAAAATCTAAAATATAATTAGAATAATCGTTGAGTTTTAACAGAATACTTAATTATTATATAT